ACAAAAGTTATATTATTACAGTTACTTTGTAACGCGTTACACCCAACTCTGGCTATGGGTATGAGTAAATTATATATTATTTTCCTGCCATTATTTTTAAAGTTACAAACTAGAGGGGATGATTAAGGCTTGGATGAGATGTAAAAAATATGCTTATCCCTTTAAGATACTGCAGGGGAAGGCAGCCATAGTAAAAGAGGAAAAGATAAAAGAGAACAAGGAATGAGGACAGGGAGTGGGAGGATCTGTGAGAGTACACGGACATGTGTTGAACATCTGCATCCACACCTCGCCTGAACACCCTGAGCTGAGAAACATGAGAAGTGGGAAAAGAGAATACTTAAGCGCTGTAATCCGTTTGGTATGAGCTTGACAGGTCTTTAGGTTAACTGCCCTCGAGAACTTGAAGGCCGAGGGAGGCTGCTGACCCTGATAACTACTCTGCTTGCTCCCAAATGGCTACACTCGCTCTCCAGGAGTAAGGTCATCTGTACACACACTGGGTCCATATGTCATGGCCCTTTGACCCCCGAGAGTTCAGCACAGTACCGTGTAGTGTTTGATCCTAAAATAGGCAGACCATAGGAGGGATAGGGAGGCTGGAAACAGGGGCAATGAAAGGTTTCAAAACCCCAGGGGATCAAACGTCTGTGGCTATCATTACATCAGGCGTACAGGCTTCTGTGGAATTATTTCAGGGCCTAATTTATGCAGCCCAAATGTGTTTCTGATGTGCGGATTCGAAGTTACTGCTGCTGACACGTTGCTCCTTTTCTCAATCCCAACAGATAAGAAGCTGCACATTCTGTCTCGTCCTGCTCTGGATGGGTCTGATGCCCCTCGTGAGGAGGAGGAGACAAGTTCTGCCACTGGAATGCCAAATCTTCCCCCGAAGGACGAGGGAAGAAGCAACAACATCCTGGCCTACGTGTCTGTTCTGGCTGCCGTGGTGCTGGGTCTGATTGTTTACGTTGCTTATAAATGGTGAGTTTACTGGTCATTGGATCGATTTAATAAGGATTGAAGGCCGTAAGATACACATTTGTAACCGTGGGAAGTTTAACTGACGTTGTTTTCTTCTGCTCTTCTCAGTTGGAGATCCTGTAAACAGAAGAGGGCTCTCTCTAAGGCCCGTGCGGCTGAGTTGGGAACATCTCCAGAGGGAGAAAAGCTCCAAAGTGACAGCGGTGTTTTTCTGGACTCTCACAGCATACAGGACAACCAGCCCAGCAAAGGTGTGGTATAGACACAGTCCTTGTTGTTAAATCTTCAAGTGATGAGGGACTTTTTAAAATATTTCATCCAAATATATTTCAATCAGGAGAGACATGATGTATGAAATACATGTGTATTACCGGGACACATGATATAAGAGAATGGTGATTGACAGATTACAACAAATGAATGAACTGATGTTTGGCGATTAGGCCCCGGTTTGCAGGATGATCATTCGGGAGGGGAAAACCGCTCCGATGAACCCCCCGGGGTCTAGACACTGGTGGTGGTGATAAGTAGTTCGGTCCGGTTCTGAAGGGAGAAGGTTTTAGCTTGGCCCTGTATTAGGATCACTTATTGGGAGAGGAGAGGGTATTGAAATGACGTGTAACACCAGAGGGTATTGGTCTTCCTAATTGAACTTGCGCTAAGCTTTCATATTCATTCAAAAATAAATGTTGAACGTGAACAAAAGTTCCTTAATTAAACGTATTAAACTCGACAGGGCACCTTTAAGTTCTCAATGTTCCTAACAAAAATAATGACACGAAAGCTTTCTAATTTCATGCCTATGAAATGTTTAATTTAGCATTTCTTAGAAAAAGTAACATTAGACCTACATGTACACGGCGGGCTCATTTTGTTTGTGTTTTCCCAGGTACCAAGAGGGACAGCAAGCAGGACAACCGTCTGTACATTAACCTGCCCCCCCACAGACAGGAAGAGGTGGAGTGCCTCCTACAGGAGAGAGAGGGGCAGGGGTGGAGACAGCTGGGCACAGCGCTGGGTTATGAGCCTGAACAGCTGGACCTGTTTGGGCGTGGAGAGGCCCCCGCCCACACGCTCCTCTCTAACTGGGCCCAGAAAGAAGGCTCCTCTCTGGGACTGCTGTTCTCTGCTCTGGCCCGCATTGAGAGGTCTGATGTGGTCACAGCTCTTAACTCCCCCATGCAAGGTGTTTCTGTGGTGTGACGGCCCCTCGAACACACATAACACTAAAAGACTCAAGTGAAGAACTTTCATTGAAATGACAAGCAAGGCACTCTGATATCAACACCTCTGTCACTCATGGTCCTATTTGCTTTATTGGACACTTATAAGAGAACAAAAAACATTCTTGTATCCCTTTTCTCGGCCCCAGTTTATGTGACCGATTGATTTTGTATGAATCCAACTTCAAGTCATAATCTTCTGCAAAGTTCTATCATCGCTGCAGAACAAATACCAACTTTTCTATTGAAAATGAAAACTCTGACCATATAGTATGTTACAACCTCTCATTGCAGCTACTGAGTGAAAAAGATGCTCAATTCTGGTCACGCCTAAATGCCTTGCTCAATGCACACTGCAACATTTTTTTTACTTTTGTATTAGAACTATAATGACTGACACAACAATAAGTATATTTGTAATGTTGTTTACATGAACACAAATCCTGGTATTCGGTTAGAGGCAGGAAACAGAAGAATGTGTTTACACATGTTGCAGAAGTGTGATTATTCTAAAAACCGCTGTTTACACATTATTTGGGCAGTAATCAGACTTATCCTCTTCCCCATATAAAAAAAGATCAGCCTTCCATGTTGTTCTGTAAACAAATACAGCTTAGATCATATTGTTTGTAGTCTCGAGTCAACCTTGTTTCATGAATCCAACTTCAGAAACTTCTTTGGTATTGCAGATGATTTTTTTCCAGGAGACCTTTCAACGACACTGCTCTCCGACATGATGTGACTTTCCCTAATAAGGATCATAGAAAACTCCAAGAAGCAATAAGGGGTTTACTTGACCAACGCAACGGACCAATCTTCCCGATGACGCCTGCAGTTGCTAAGAAGACTGTCTAATGTGTAGATAGTAACTACGCACTAAGTGTTTTTTAAGTTTGTCGCCTTGTTCTTTTATTCTTCATTTTCTGCTGCAGTCACCACGTTGCCTTGGTATTTACTGTATATACATTGGGGATATTAATAAGCACCAGTGATGTTTCAAATATCATCAGAAGACACGAAAATGAAGCATTCTGTGTTAGCTCTTCCTAATAATCACATAATGCTTGTAAATATCTTAAATACTGATTCGTTTTGGTATGTCATGGCTTAAAGTGAAATCATTTATGAACTGTGAAGACTGAACACAGCGAATGGAGAGGAATATACTCTCCTGATATTCATCAAACACAGCTCCATTTACATCATCTTGATTTCGTATAATAGAAACAGAGAAAAGTATCCAAAGACACTGTTGTCATCATTGTTTGTCCAATTTTCCATCTTGCTTTTGTATTTATTCCATCACCATTTCCAATATAAAACTATTGAGAACCATAGGTATGTACAAGTAACACTATGTGATGGTGTAATCAAATGGTTTGAAATTGTTCTAATGCCAGCCATGTTTGGTTTTGTGTATATATTTCCTAATTGTATGCCTCAATGTGTTTTTGTAAGAGTTTTATTCATTTAATAAATAACTTTGATAAGTTCGGGCTCTTTTGTTTTAACAGAAGGATCATAGTGCACAGTAGTTTGTATCCTATAGCCCTGTGATTCTCCCTCGAAACCTACTTCCGTTTGTGGTGAGATTGTGAGACATTGAGTCATCTTTAATTCCTGAACACTACGTTTAAAAGAGTGTCTGAACTCTTAAAAAACACCAACATGTGATGGATAAGTCACAATGGTTTAAATAGCTATAAATGATGGATAAAAAGTTAAAACAATTACTATTAAATAACGGCTAAACAGTTAGAAATATAATATAATAATATCAAAGTAAAGAAAAGTTAGCTCAAAATTATAGAGGGTAAGAATGCTTTAAGTACATGATATTTTAAAGTTATGAATAAATGTTTATAATAAATAAAGGTAGCCAAATATATTGGAAAGACAGCTGCACATGGATGACTAAATGGTTGCAGTAAAGCCGCCAAAACAAATTCATAAAAACGCAACTAGATAGGGCTCTAAATAATTTGCAGTTTAGCACAAAATGGATCATGTAATTTGGATATGAGCCCTTTTGTTTATAGCCATTCCAAATAAACAGTTTTACGTTCATGGAAATATGATAATTTCTAGACCTCAACCAAAGTGCTATAAACATGTCTATCACTTGCAGTAACAGAAAAACCCACATAACGAATTTCACAGCGATGAAGGTTTGGACATATTGACACTAGTCTGACCCTTATCAAGGGATTTAGTGTAAAATAACATTTCCTATCCATAACCCTGAGGGAAATCAGTTTTTTAATGATTTAAGGGTGAAATGAAAAGAATATCTTCATCCAAAAATATTCTGGAGAAAAGTTTCCTCTCACTGAGGCACAATCTGCTTATCCTGAAAATCTGTTAATGATCTCTCTGCATTCAGCTCTAAGTGGGAGCAGGCATCTTGCATGGCCTGGGGCAGTGTTACATGCCGTCACACTCTCCAGACGGGACTGCTTAACTGCGGTCTGAAGCACACAGGCATGGGGCTGCGGAATGTGCATACACTGGGAGGGGGGTTGGGACCAGAAGAGAGACGGGAAGCACAGCAGCGCCTCTCTCCACTCATCAAGGGTTGCCATATTCAGAGCACACTGAACGTCTCTAATGAAGGCAGTCGATTACTCGAGATCCCTTCACTGGGTCCAAACATCTGGCTCAGCTGTGTGTACGCGCTGTAGTGGCATTCATGAGGGAACCAGTCTCAAATGGGATTGGTGTGCACGGAGCGGTTGAACATGCAACAGAGGTCACTCACATTCGCAGATACTAAAGTGAACTGTCCAGCAGGGATATCATTTTACAAAAAGTTTATTATCTCTTAAAATGTTTGTACACTCGGTATGACAATGTGCTTACACAATACTTACAGCAGAGTAGGGTGGAACTTACTTTGTACATAGAAAAATAATAAAAACTAAAAAGGAAAAAGGTGAAACCTCCCCCACCCCTGAAATCAAACGCGTCAGCAGGGTCCTTAGTTTGACAGAGCGGTGCGGCGCTGCATCAGGAGGCTGAGCTGCTGAGGAGGGCTGGGCTGACCCTACTCTCCTGCGCACAGCTTTGGTAGGTTTACATATTATTTACACTTTCAATCACGAAATGATAGTCATTTTACAAAGTGTCTGCTTATTTAATCATTCCCAAAACTATTATTCAATATATTCACATATAAAGCAATGTACATATGTTGGTACTTCGTTTAATGCAATGAGTTAGGCTGCGAACAATCGGTGACCTAATGCTGATGAAACCCCCTCGACAACCGTAGAAATTAATGAGTGACAGTTTGTGAAGCAGAACCGGCCTAGGTGTCGTTAACAAAGACTAACGGTGATAAAAAAAGAAACAGAACACACAAGATGATAAGAAACTGTTAAAACTGCACTTTCAGAATTATTCCTGTAAGAAATGGAAACAGAGCAAAACCTCTTTACGAAGAGGAGTGGACGTGAAATGGCTAAACTGCACATCAAACCGCATTCAAACCCTGCTCCCGTTATTATACATAAATTCATAAAAGACTAATTGATCACCTTGCCAACCTGCTGGCTATTTGCTGAAGTGTATTATGAGTAAAAGCTCAACCCAGTAAGGGTATGTTTCTTGAAACTAAAGGAATTTTCATAAGGATACCTCTGACCTCAGCCTACATCATGCATTCATAAAACAACACAGGCTCCAAAGTCTTGTGGTTAAGAAGGCGGGGCTTGAGGAGTGGAAGCTTGGCCCTCCACAGCCCAGTTAAAAGCAGCACCAGTTAGTCAGTTAGTCAGTGGCAGGGGGATGAAGCATGCACAGGAGCAAGGAAGTGGGAGGGGAAAAGCACTGAACTGCCATTGATCCATTTTTAACAGTGGAAAGTAACAGAAAATACCGTATGACACCAAAGCTGATTCCGCTGAGAATTCATCATTCAGGGCTAGAAGAGTTTAGAAAGTGGAATTGAGGTGATCATCTTGGGAACATTTAAGAGCCACATATGGAAAAAAATAAATGCTTAAAATCAAACAGTCAGTGAAAACGTTAGTCTCTGTAGCACCCCGCAGTATTGTCCTGGGAGAACACTGCACCTGGAGTCTTCGGGTCGTTCAGCGACACTCAAGTCTCCGTCAGTCTGTAGAGCGGGGCTCCTCCATGATCCACGGGGCCTGGAGAGCTTCTTGGGCAGCAGTGCAATTCTTAGTTATAAATACGCATAAGAAACTACTTCAGGGCTCAGGCTGGCCAGTACGTACATGAAGGAGTAAATGGAAAGGCAAATCTGTGCTTCCCCTGTGTTCGCGCAGGAAAAGGGTAACAGTGGGCGCTGAGGCTAGTCCTCCTCTGTGTCCTCCTTGGGCCTGTACACAGTGCCAAATCTCTGCATGTACTTCTTGATGTACTCCTTGGTCTTGTGCTTCACATTCTCGTTACACTCAAGGTCCTCAGGATTATTGCAAGCTTTCAACTCCTTGTTCATAACTCCGTGAGTAAGCTAGAAGAATGGGCAGAGAGGAGGAAAGAGTTGTCAACAGGGTACAGTTCATTATTTAATCATCATGAATGCAAGTTGTGGTAGAGGGGTGGGCTGGATATTCTTATTTAGTGACATTGCCCTTTATAATTTGAGACAATCAAATGCAATCTCTACACAAGTGAAGCCCAACTTGTCTTTTTGTTTATTGTACCAATGCCCTCAGAGTCGTGGTATGTCTGAGTGCAAACCACTCCCTACATTCACAATCCAGGGAGACAACGAAAACCATGGATGAGAAAAACAATGCTGTCCTTTGAAGAAATGTTTGGTGGAAAGAGCTTTTAAAAAGGCAACAAGTAAAACAAAAGCGAGGGGGCTAATGGTTTACATGTTCAATGTGTCTTTGGTCTCTTCAAGAGGAGTCGTGGGAGCTCAACTATTTAGTTTTGGTTTGGGGAAAACTTTGAAAACATTGCCTTTTAAGAGAAAGGCTGACCAATGCTGTCATTGTGGTCTGACCACACAGGGGCCAAGGAAAGGTTTACAGATTCTTCTGAGTTTTGAAAGCTGATTCTTGTTTATTCTTACCTTTCTAGCCAGGTGTTTGAAATCTTCTGTGTTGATGATGCGTCCGAGTTTGCAGTCTGGCTTCCGATAAGGATTTAGACACTGGACTATGAACTGGGACATCTGAGTAATGTAGACACACAGAAAGACTTGTTAAAAAAGAGATGAATATTTAAACAAGACTAAAACCTTGCATGGCTGGCTAGAAGAGGTTTGAATCATGGAAACATCTGGAGTTAAATAACATTACTGCAAACATTGTTTACAGATACTCTGGCTCACCTCTTTGCGAAATGTCTCTTTACTCTTTTTAGCCAACTCACTGGAAGTGTCTGCTTCAGCTGTCTTTGTAGAGAACTGTAAAGACAGAAAAGAAGGATAAAACGATTAAAACACTTCGTGTGCAACACATCTGTTCCACATTAAACCCTTGGGTTTGCATGTTTAACGTGTCATAAACTAATTCCCACCAAATTCTACTTCTTTTATCACATTGTCAAACGTTTGCTTAGCTATAATGGCAGACAGTAATAGCATGGCATACTGACTAAAGCCAGGAGAATCATTTCCTACGATTAAAATCACAAGTGTGTGCCCACCTGTGCATGATATCAATCAAACATGGCAACTGGCTACTAAATTGTGGCCATCAAGGTCAGTGGCACATCAAACAGCACCTGCTCGACACAAAGCAGGGATATCCTGCCAGGACGCCGTGTCTGTGGCCAGCCTTCAACAACAAAGACAGACAGGCAACAGCTGACTGCCTACACCGACAACTCAGTGGTGAGGATCAAAGCCAGCACCAAGGATTCACACAACCGTCATGCCAGGGCCATGAATCCAGAAACAGTGAAATTGGACGCTTTACAAGTGCAGAGACATGTGTCATAGCTTCAAGTGCTGGACGTGGACACATGCAGGGAAATCGTCCGTGACCTTCTAACTGTTCTTGGTGGGAAATGAAAAACATGAGTCTTTCCATCTTAGTTTTCAATGCTTTTTTCAACTGTAATATCTTTTTTATGAAGAGAGAAAAATGGGACACTTTTGTAGTTAATCTATAACACAAGAAACCGCAACTAAATGAAGGCTAGGTCTTACAGATGGTCTCTATTATCCTCAAAGTCAGGAGAGAAATGAGGAGGAAAAACAAACGAGGCAGAGGAAGACAAGATGAGCTGCAACCCCTCCCCTAATGGCCTTGAGGCGAAGGGACAGCTGAGCAGGGGGTGGAGTGAGTCAAATCTCTCTCCAAATCTGTGTCACCATGCAGATTCTGTTGAAGCCATTTTGCGAGGAGGGGCCATCGGGAGGACACAACGCTCGCTGAACGTAATGTCGTGCTGAGGGTTGTTCTGTTTTCCGCCTTGAGACACAGCTGAAAGCAATCACTAGTGCTGCATCTTCATTTACCTCAAGGAACAAACACTATAATCATGTTCAAGCACACTTTCTGCGAACCAGATAAAAATGTGAACAGAGAGATTCTGTGTTTCCCTATGTGACAAAAACAAGTTATTTTCTCTGTGCTTCATGTAGCTCTATATAAAAACACTCCAGCATACCTTGGAAGGATTCTCATCGTAGGTGGGTGTCCCCAGGTCCATCTCAGATTCATGGTCCACACTTGCATTGTCGCTAAATCCATCGCATGTTGGAGGGTCCCACTGTGTTTGCCTGGTGCACAGAGGGAATTAATGTCAGATTGAAACACAATGCAGGGGTGTTCCAGAGGCACAAACACACACACTTCAACAGAAACACAGCAGTACCAACCTTGTGCCGATGTGGTAGTAGTAGATCTTGCCTTCAGGGTCCCGGGCCACTTTCCAGAGCGGAGGTAGGACTATTGTTTTGGGTTTGGGAGGAGAGGGAGGAGGCAGGTCTATCACGTTGTTGGGTACAATCATTTCCTGAACAAAAGGAAATGGAAAATATGTATTAGCAACAAATCTTCATAGCTTCCCTTTGAAGAACCTCTTTTGAAATGATGCTAGGAGAAAGAATTCATTAATCTTTGATGACAACAGTTGTTTAAAGTTACATATGACTGCAGTTAGATTTTTATTTAGAAATTAAGCACATTGAGCTATTTCCTTGATTTGTTCCATCTTTACTCACTCGTAAAAAAGCACTTTTCAATTATTTGTGACATGAACCACATGCTGAAGCTCTCAAGAGATGCACACATCTTAGATATATACTTCCCCCTTGTGGACACACTGAGAAACAAGCTCCTCAAAAGGCCTAAAATGCCTAATAAACTGTCACTTTGTTCAAATCAGTATCTCCATCATGTGGCTTATGCTGGCAAACAATATAGATGTTTCCTGTGTCCCCTCTGCGTTAAGAGATTCTGAAAGTTTCAGGGAAAAAGATTCGCTCACTTTTTGTATGAAAAACAGTATAATAGGGGACCTTTAACTAATATTCATTGGCTTTACAGATGTGAATGATCAGTCAATGTGTTACACTATGCCCTGTTTCAAGTATAATCAGCATGTAAGACAGAGTGAGTATGAGTTACCTGTTGGACAGTTTGGGATGTGACAATGGTGGTGACGGTGCCCCCCTGCTGCACCACCACTCCCTGCTGATGGCCGGGATACACAGGCTGACCGTGCAGGTAGCTGGCTGCGGGTTCAGTGTACGCCTTCAGAAACACAAACATGTCAATAAGTTAGACAGTCACTACGAGCATTCTGACGTCTTGGGCATGTTGAGCATGTGCTGCTGTGTTCTATAATAGTTTATCACACGTGATGGATTTGAAACAATCCCCAAGCAAAGGATATCTCCGACTGTTGAGCTTTTATTACTTTTTTTGCCCAACGTATATTATTATTTTTTGCTTAAAAAACACTAGATGGGTAAGTGAAATTACGACTACTAGAACATCAATGTACAAATAGTGAAAATTGGAATTATAGAACAGAAATACAATTTAGAAATACATATTTTAATATAAAGAACAATATACTTGCAAAACGACATTAGTTGGACACAGTGGATTCTAACGCAATTGAAACAATTATTTCATTGGTTTGATATTTTGCCATTATTTTGTATGTAAAGTAGAAATAAGCACATTATTTACGAATTATTTGAATTTCTTTGGATACAGCCAAGTTAAAATACAGCATTTCTGATGTGCCAAATGATATTGTAAAGCCGTTGTGTCCTTGGGCAAGACACTTCACCTGAACTTGCTCCTGTGTGTATTGTCCACAGTACATGACCATTGCATGTATGATATGTGTAATGTGTATTTGTAAAGCGCTTTGAGCATCTGGAAAAGCGCTATAATAAATGTAAGGAATTATTATTATTATATTAGTCCTTGATGATGATGACTGCAGAGAGCCCCCTACCTGTATGACGGGGGTGCTGGCCTGTGGGTAGGCGGTGGGGATGCTGTAGATGGTTTGGCACGGCTGCCCCTGGTAATAGATGGCTGTCTGTGTCTGAGGTGGTGGTGGGGCTGTGGTGTACTGCTGCGCCGGCTGGGTCTGCACTGTCACTGCCTGCTGAGTAGTGGGGTCCCACAGAGTAGTGTAGCTCTGCTGGCCCTGTATGGGAGGAGGCGCGGGCACTGAGAGGACCGCCACATCTGGGTCCTGAGCTGCTACAGTTGGCTGGGCATACTGTGGAGGGTTGCCAGGGGCGAGGTCAGTGGTGATGTGCTGAGGAAGATTAGAGACCGGAGCGGCCTGGGAAGTGGAGGATGGAGAGGACAATCCCAGAGGCGTCTCTTCATAGTTCAGGGCGGGATCAACCGGGGGGGTGGGTAGCAATATTTTGCCTACATTGGGGTTTGTGGGATCAACATAGGCCTGGAGTGGATATCCAGGAGGGTAGGTGATGAAGCCAGGGTCGGAGATATAGGCCAGAGAAGGGTCATAACCCATTGTTTGAAGCTGCTGCTGCTGTTGTTGTTGTTGTTGTTGCTGCTGTTGTTGTTGTTGTTGTTGCTGCTGTTGCTGCTGTTGTTGTTGTTGCTGCAGTTGTTGCTGCTGCTGCTGTTGTTGTTGTTGTTGTTGTTGTTGTTGTTGTTGTTGTTGTTGTTGTTGTTGTTGCTGCTGCTGCTGCTGCTGTTGAAGCTGCTGTTGTTTCTGGGCTTCCCGCTGAGCAACTTCCTGCTCAAACAGCTTTCTGCGTTCATCTGTAGACAGCTTGGTGCGCTCCTTGCCTGCAACTCCCCGAGCCTTGCTGCTGTTAGGCGTGTCAAACCTTAACAATTCAGAGAACAAGACCAGAGTTTGTCAAAACGCCACCATGGTACACAGCTGTTCCAATTACAATCTGCTTGGAAGACACACTGCACAATGTTACCCTATCACAATAAATCTTACCGTTCCTCAGTGCGTCGGCTGCTCCTTTCGTAGGAGGACGGTGGTGAAGCGGAGCGTCTCCTCCGTCTCTCTGTGCTGCGCTGAGGAGTTTTGTCAGAGCCTCGATCCCGATCTCTTTCTCTGTCCCGATCCCTCTCCCTCTCTCTGTCCCTCTCTCTGTCCCTCTCTCTGTCCCGATCTCTGTCCCGATCTCTGTCTCTCTCTCGATCCCTGTCTCTTTCAAAATCTCGGTCTCTCTCCCTGTCGCGTTCCCTCTCCTTTTCTCGCTCCCTCTCACGTTCTCGGCTACCAGACGTGGTGCGTGGCGTCAAAGTTGTGTCTCTATCCCGGCTACGATCTGTGAGAAAGCTCAAGTTAGCAAAAATGACACAGAGAAAAATTCATAGCCAATCAAACGCATTGTTCTAAACTTACCATTTGCCTCCTTTTCCACCTGAATCTTTTTTGGTATTCTGTACACCTCCTGAAAGAGAAACACCATTTTGACTTTAAACTTCAGAATACTGTAGTATCCAAACAGATTACAAAATTATATTTGTAACTGTGTTTCACAATGTATGACTTTTAAATTAAATCTGTTTGCACCCACCTTCAGATCTTTCCAGCTGTCCAGAAGCCTGGCAGCCATGCCACAAATATCCAAAGAACTGAGTTGGGGCTCCTGACTCCTCTCGCTCTCCACATCTGAGACACCTTCCTCTTCATCTTGAGAAGGAGTTCCTATTGCTGATGGCTCCACGGGGGTTGCTATGACTTCAGAGGGCAGACTGGCCTCCGGGGTCTCAGAGTTACAGGAAGCATCAGTGGTAGATTCTCTAGGTTGTGTCTCGATGACAGGAAGTGGTTTCTCAGCTTCCTGTGTCTCTGCCTGGGCCTCCATATTCTCGGAAGGCTGCTCAGGTAGAAGATCAGCAACATCTGTTTGCATGGGCTGAATTTCTGGCTCCAGAACTTCTACGCTGGGCTGGTCTCCTTCAGGTTCAGCCTTTTCCGTCACAGCCTGATGTGTGTTCTCCTCCCCACTCTGCTGTTCTTTACTAGGCTCTTTCGGCTCTTCAAGTTCATCCGTAGGAACCTCACTTGTGTCCTCTTTCGTCTTAATCTCAATATCTTTCTCCAAAGTCAACTCCATTTTTTCTTGTACCTCTTCAGTTTGAGGTTGTTGACCGCTGGCACTCATGCCCGTCTCCTCCTCTTTCTCCTCCTGGCCCTGGACCTCCTCTGTGACCTGGACCTCCTCTGTGACCTGGACCTCCTCTGTGACCTGGACCTCCTCTGTGACCTGGACCTCCTCTGTGACCTGGACCTCCTCTGTGACCTGGACCTCCTCTGTGACCTGGACCTCCTCTTTGACCTGGACCTCCTCTTTCATCGGCTCTTCCGTCGTTTCTTTTAGTGGATCTGCAGCCTCACACACCTGCTCTGCCTCCAACTGTTTGTCGTCAGGAAGTCTTGCATGTAAGGATTCTTCTTCCTCGTCATCATCCTCCTCCTCCTCTTCCTCCTTGCAATCAGATGCTTTGCTGGCGTCAGAGAGTGCACTGTCCAGACTGTTTTCACTGATGATTTTAAGGCGGCGGTACACAGCGGGTTTTGCCGATTCACCGTCCAATTCTGGTCCCACCTTGATGGAGGAACCATCAGGAGTGTTGAGGGGGGTTTGAGCACGGGAGGTGTTCTCACTAGAGTAGTCATCCATCTCAGCAGGGTGATGGAGTGATTTTGTCTGTGCCCATCGCTGGATAAAGGTAAGGATCCTGCTCTCCTCCAACATGTTCTTAGTGGAGATAGGGAGCACAGCCAAGGTCTTCAAAATCTGTAAACAGAATCATAGATAGTCAGATTAAATGTGGAAAAGCTGCATATATATGAGTGTACATGCTCTGAAGAATTACAAAATTTGCTTAATGTTTAAGTGCAAAATCTATGAAATATGTCACCTCTAACTGCAGTTTGACGTTATTGGCACTGTTGCCTTTAGCTTCAGAAATCTCCACCATGAAGATCCATAGCAAAGACAATCCATGATGGTCCAGGAACTGCTTCAGGCATGATGGGCTTTGAGTATCCTGTGCAACACAAACATGTAATATTAGGTACGGTAAATGAAAATAAAGAAGTACTAATGATATTAAAAAAAAGCATCAATACTCATCATACTTGTATGAGTTTGAGACACAGGAGTTTCTGCTCCATGGTTTCCACTCGGACCATTAGTCTGCAGAGAGACACCACCTGTTTCTCATCATACAGGCCTTCTCCATTTTCCAGTAACGCCTCCAGCTCTTCATCAACCTGAGGAAGGACAAGTGGTTTCATCAGAAATAGAACATTTTAGATGAAAAAATGGGCCTTTAGAAATGTTAGCTTGTTTGCATACAAGTGCTAACATCACTTTAGTCAAAACTCAATTATTTTATTATTTGTATTAGTCAATTTATTGAACATGTCGGAAACAATAATTATAATAATTATAACAAAGAGATGCAAAACTAAAACAACACAAACATTCAAGGTACAAAACAATTAGATGGCTTGGCAGTGGCGGTTCTACAACATTTTACATGGGGTGGCAAAGGGGGGCCAAGAGGTCATGCCAGGGTGACATGGGAGGGCGTACAGCAGTGTTTCCCATATATTGATTTATTTGTGGCGGGCCGCCACAATTAAATATCGTCCGCCACAAATAGATCTCGTAAAATAAAATGTAAAAATAATTTGTTCCCAAAAAAATAAGTTATTTTTCATAAAAAAAGAAATAATTTTTGAATACAATATATATTTCATTGTAGAGCGCAGTTACCCGCTCAGCCCCTCTTTGCATGCTCTTTGCTCTCAACGGCCCCTGAGCCCCGCCCCCTCCTCTCTGCAAGACATTTCTGAAGTTTGAAACCAGATGCCGGAGAATCACTTCACGAATGGTTGGTATATGCATACATTTGTCCAAAATGGATGTATTCAAGTTAACTCTGATAAGTTAGTCTCTCTGTTCGTATCACGCTGTAAATCGCGGAGACCCAGCTCTTCAAATAAGTTATTAGCTAACAAGCATGAAAGGAGCCTAGCTAGCTAGTTGCTAGCTGGGTTGTCGAGGTTAGCACGCTGTGAAACATTATAGCGCTCCTAACGTTAGTCAACTACCGACTGCATTTAATTATTTAACTCTGACGCTGAATGATGTTTACTCCCTCAAACCAGATGAATATAGAAACATATTTTCAAAGGCAGAAATGGGCTCATCCTGAAGAGGAGCAAACACAGCCTGGAACAGAGGTATTAGCAAGAGTACCTATAGAAACACACGTTGGTGGGACACACGTGGGACACACGCGGGAAAGCTGAACAGTCCGACCAGTGTGATTAGCTATCCAATTAATTTGTTTGAAATATTTCCAGGCTTCAACCAGTGCTAGTGTAGCAGCAAGAGAGGGTCAGGGAGCCGTGGCAGAGCCAGCTAGCTCAAAAGCAGCAGGTGAGATTGACAGAAAACACAGAGAGATAGAAGCAGGTCAGGTGGTCAGAAAACCAGATTTCTTAGGCATCATTTCTATTCTTCTGTGCCTCATTTCTGTAATTGTGAAGCAAGCAGCAAGCATAGACGCACTGGATTTGATCCAGAGTGGTTGAATATGCCTCCACACGAGGACGATAACGGTTGTTTCCGTTACCGTTTTGTGTCATATAGACCATTCGGCCACACTAGGACGACAGAATATGGCACTAAACGACTACGGTAACGATAACGGGTCCCAAGGTGGATAGAACGGCATACGCAACGCTCTGGGGGGTAAAACGGCTCCGTGTGTACGCCCTATACCAGGGGTGCCCAACCTTTTTTTAAATCGAGAGCTACTTTTAAAGTTGCCAGTCTTCCGAGATCTACCAGTCCAAATAGAGAGGCGTAGTTACTGACAGGTGAATACACACTTCTACTTTTATAAAACTGACCTTTGTACGATGAATACTTCATAAAATACTGCAGATCCTTTATCTTACCTCTTTCTAATCTACACACATACAAGTATTTAACTGAAGCTACACAACAGTGTTGTTGATACAGAGTTGGAGTTTATTCACACATCACATACTACAGTGGGTAATGTTTTCAAGAAGCATTGAACAGTGCTGCCACATATGACACAGGGAAAAAAGAAAAGACTCTGAACCCTTTCTTTGTCCTTATATAAAAATAGTGTTGCTACAAAAGTATAAATTAGGCTTACTAATAAGACAACTCAGATCTGAAGCTACTCAGGAATCTGCTGCCAACGTGCAATAAAAAAGACAAAATGAATAGAATCAAACCCTTTTTTTGTTGCATTTTAGTAGATTATAAAAATAAATGCCTTTAAAAAATAGGATGCAAGCAACACTAGTTTCTTAACCTGAATTGATAATAGACTATAATCAATTTAAACAGAACAGATCTTAATGTTTGCATTCTTATACCATTTTGTACAATAATTATAATGAATAAGTTCAAACAAACAAAAACTTACAGCTGATTAATAACGGTATCTAACTTGAGTTTTTATTATATCAAAAACCTGTTGAAATGCTTCTGTTATTTTTACTGTCCCCCAAAAGCGTGTCGGCAGCCTCCAGGAAAGCTTCTTTCACAACTTCGCCGTCTTTGAAAGACTTCATGTGTTTCGCAAGAACGTGCCTGACACTATAAGATGCTATGCTAGCAGCCTTGCTCTTGTTGTTGGGCCTGGTGAAAATGGACTGCTGTGCATTTAGCTGTCCTTTCAGGCCCCTCCCCTTTTGGAGCGTAGGGCAGAATCAGGAGGGAATTCCGTCTCGTAGCGTTTGTGCACTGTTTTGAAATGCCGCTCCTAAATTACCCTTCTTCGATAAAGCCACGCTCGCATTGCAGATGAGACAGATGGACTTTGAATTGGAATAGATACACAAATAATCATCCTCCCACTCGGAGTGAAAATTATATATTTTGGGCTGTTTTGCTTCTGCCATAATTGCAGTCTTGTGTGTGTGCGGACTGTCACTCCTGTTGACACGGACAACGTCAGCGAAATAGTGCCCACTGCCCACCAGCCACGCCCCGACACATGGGGTCATGCCGGCCAATCACAAAGCTTTGATGCGTTCAAGTGCATTATTCTGGCACGGGAAGATTATGTTATAGGACATTAACGATAAAACAGAATGTTGTTGTTCTATTTTTAGACACATCTCGCGATCGACTGGTTGGGCACCCCTGCCCTATACGATCATTTTCTGATAATGATGAGGCAATAGCCCCGCCTCTGCTGCTCACCCCCGCGTCAAAGTAAACTGCACACTGAATTCAGATTATTTATCTTTCTCTCGATATGGACATAAACGCGAGTGAAGTCTAATCTGACAGGACACGCAGCTCTGCTCACCTGCAGCTCCTCCCGCTGTGATGCGGCGGTGAACGGAGCAAAACACACACTTCAAGTCAGATCATCGCCCTTAGCTATTTTAATTACCTCTCAAACTACCTAAACTAGTTATAAATATGTTTATTTTTACTGTCGGCTGAGTCACTCATTACTGGATCAGCTGCTGCATGAGACAGACACTGATGCTGTCAGAAGAGAGGGAGGAAAAAGAGTATTTTATTATTATTATATTATATAATATAGATTAGTTATTCATTTGTTTTAAAGCTCAATAAATAACAAAGAAGACCTTTGACCGGCACCTTTATAATTTTGTCCGGAAGATTTAAACTTTAATACACGTTGACTGGCGAAAAACTCTGCCCGGTTCCCTCCGCCCCCACCGCGGAGAATAAGCAGAAGGGCAACCATGACAACCATGCTTCTTCGCTGCTTTTGTGGAGGAAGTTACAGCCAGTCACGTACAGGCTCCTGCATATGTACTGCAGCTTCTCCAGCGGTTGGAGCTAAACGGAGCTGTCTCGTGTGGACAGAAACTTTCCGGTGTCTATTGCGTGTGGACGGAAGCCTTTTTTGCGATTGTGTTTGCATATGCGTTTTACCGTTATGGTCCTCGTGTGGCCGGGGCCTAAGCCATGGCTATACCACACACAGCATGGTCAATTTGATGAATGGGCTGAGCTCTACCCCTGCCTGAGCCTCCTTGCGGGCATAGGACTAGTTATCCCCGTTTCTAGTGTCAACTGTGAATGCGATTTCTCGGCGGTGAACAGAAAAAGCATCACTTTGAAAAGCACAACAAATTATTATGCATTTCCTTTATTAGTTCAGTTTGTGGTATTCCATTTTGCTTCATCCTCAGGTGAAAACAGACCTCCGAAACCAGCTCCAAGGAGAACACCTGGCTGCCTGCTTGAAGATCTCCATAAATGGACCCTGTCCTGAGGCCTTCCCTTAAGATAGGGCATTAGAATATTTGTTCAGGAAGCCCCGTAAAATCGGATGTCAAGACAAAGGGTGCAAAGTTTGCAACAAGTAGGGTGCAAAGTTTGCACATTGTCTGAACATCTGAAGCGTTGTGTAGCCGAGCCAAATTTTATTTTATTTTGTTTGTTTGTTAGACATCCTAGTGGTGGTGTTCCAGGCGGGATTTGAACTCGGCACTTAGCCCTCAGTTACTCCAGGGAGAATGTAATTAAATGTAAATGTATGTAATCTAATGTAAATTGCTTTGGAATAAGGCAATTATATTTTTGGGAGAATAAACCCCACAGATCCTCAACTCCGGTGTGGCTCACTCATTTACAATGCGGGAGGGGGGGTGCCCGCCGGGGGGTGCCCCCACAAATAGAATCAAATTCTGTGGGAAACACTGTACAGTATGTGGTATTTTATACTGTATATAACCTTTTTATTGTTAAATCATGCCCTAAGTGTTCTTAATGCTTAAGAGAAACAAGATGTTCAGACAAACAAACAAACAAACTCAAATATAGTATAAAACAGCAGAACATACTCATGAATTCTGCTTACTGTGAGTACAGTAAAAGTACTTAGTTATAATTAAGTACACAAATGACATCACCCATCTCTTAGAGAGCTAAAGGTGACCTGTGCAGCAACACATTTCAATACATATTTGTCAATACTAAGAGCCACTAGATTGTGCTGCTGTGATGGAATATGTATGCAAAGAGAATAAAAACATACCATGTGGTCCAGCTGGAGTCTCATCTGCCTCTGTCCCTCTTTCTGACACTTCATGTTTATTCCTCATATACTTCTTCACTAATGTCTTCATCTCCTCCTGGCTTCCTCCTGCTCTGACCCTCCTGGTCTCTTCATCTATTTTCCTCTTTCTACTCATCCTGATCTCTTCTCAGATATGTATTTGTTGTTGTTGAGTCACTCCAGCTACTCTGGCCTGCAAGAGTCGACTTGTGAAAAGCACTGGTACAAATGCTTGTATAACTTTACACGTTAGGGTCATGTAGCTAATAAGTAGCATATAATAAATATAAAATCAGAAAGTATTTATCAAACGCACACAGGCAGCTGTGTTTAGAACCAGTTTGCCGGTGAAGGATGTATCCTGGTTTAATTTATCTGGCCTCATTGCTGTGATGTCTGAGAGTAATTTACGTGGATTTAATAGTACGGCATAGTTTAGCAAATAAAAGTGATCGATCTCCCAGCTAGCGCTGTCTGTATAGTAGGCTATGTTGTAACGTAACTCCCCAAACAGCGCCCGTCTGTTAAACACTATCGATTCAAACGGCAGCGCTTTATTAATATCTTGTTTCAAGCTCTCGTCCTTAGTAAAAACAAAACTAGTGGAAGGGGAAATGCTCCAAGGAGAAGTTGATCCACCCTCAGGTGCTGGGACAGCTCGGTCTCTCTGCAGCTGCGTGTGAACACCGCTCCGCAGTTTAATGCAGGGCCGTAGCTGCGTTTTTAACGGGCCTAAGATGATATTTAAAATGATTCACTTTTAATTAATGTACTGCTTTTTTTGTTGCCTGAGAAGCTTGTGGACATTGTGTAGGTTTGTTTCTACAAGCACAGTTTTAGGGACACAAAAGTTAGGTTGGCAGCTGGGGGGGGAAGGCTCTACAGTGGGGGGGGCAGCTTCCCCCCCTTTCCCCCCCGTAGATCCGCCCCTGAGTCTCTGTCATGTTCAACAGGGGCAAGAAGAAGCTTAAAACAAAAACTGCATTGTTCTTGAAAATAAATTCAATAAAGGATGCCAATTCCAGCAGAAGATGTTGAGGTTGTGATTGTGTAGATGTGTGACCTGTTTACATTACTGGCAGCTTGTTGTAACCAATAACAGGACACACTCTCAAATATGACAGAAAGAACTGACCGTGGTGAGAGCGCTCTTTCTGCTGCGGTCTTTCTTCATCTTCCCTCCAGCTGCCCGAACACTGACTCTGTTCTCCCCGCCGAGGAAGCCTCTGCAGCTGGGGGCTCCACAGAAGCATTTCTGTGCTTCTTTGCTGTAGGAGGAAATAAAACAAAAAGGTGAATCCCTAGTGCAAAACCAGTTAAACAGTCAAAATAGATATGAATAAATGAACAAAAAGCCACTCTTTCTTAACATATCACATATGATAGACTGGCAACACAAACATCACAAAATAGAAGCATGGAAAAAATGAACTAGAGGAACATTACCCGTATCTCTGGAACTGGTAATCAAATGTCAGTTCAGTTCCTGCAGGGACCGCCCTGGAGGTGAAGAATCCGACTCTAAGCTGGCCATTGACAGTCCACTGGAATGGGACAAAAATAATCATCAGATAAGTACATTAGGAAATTAACAACATACATTACTAAAGGAAAGCTGGCAGTTTTTTTAAATATCCGGGGAAGCTTCATGGAGTTTTTGAAAAAGAATGTTGGTAATGATCAATAAAACCAAAGACCGGAGCGGGGGGCAACGGGAATATGATTATAAAGTGTAGTAGCCCACGTCATATTCCTTCAGATTTCTTGAAGATCTCTGTACTTTTGTATCCCTGTATCATCTGTATACTGACCTGTGTTTATTTACATGCCTATTCATTTGATTGTACACTGTATCTGCCAACTAGACTGACCATTTTATGTATGTGTAATGTTCATTATATTTGAAAACTTCAATAAAAATGTTGTTTAAAAAAAAAACATTAGGAAATTAACCGTAAAAAGCGTCATTTATTTTGCCACTATACCTTTTGGGTCTCACAGTTGGGTTCACAGCTATGGTTCATAAAACGGGAGCAGTTCCCTTTCAGCGTTGCATCAATGATCTAAATGGAAAATAAACAATGTCAATTATTTATACAGCTTCACCTGATACATTTAGACAGATTGCAGTTAAATACCATTATTTATTGAAATGTGTAATCACCAACCTCATTATTCTTTAGAGCCATGAAGTAGTAGTGGATGTTCTTATTGCGAGCATATTCTTTCACCCTAGTTTTGAACTCCTTGTGGTCCAATACCTCCCCGCAGTATTCCAGCACAAAGGTGTTTCTGAGATTGCAATAACATATTTAATATTACAATCTAAAAGAGTCGGTGTGCCAACAATGACAAATAATTTTGTAAATACTTACTCAATCAAGTCCTTAGCTGCCCGTAGACCCCAGCCCTTATCTTCCGTGAGGATGACCTCGAAGTCTGCATGTTGTTTCGTCTGAAAGCGTCTATTAGAGCAGTAGTGTCCATTCAGACACCGTGAGGAGCTGGGAAAAAAATGTTCAGACTTATATACTGTACTTTAACAGGCTCCTACACATTTTGAAATTGCAAATGTTTACAGAATCTGACCTTTTTTTTTTTTTAACTTTGCCGGGTTTGAATGTTAAAGAGCATGATTAATATACACAATCATGTGTGACTCATGTTATTACTAATTAAAACTTTCCCTGCAATTTTTTTGAATATGGAAACATTGTGTTCTTACATGATGTCCCAGCATTAACAGTAATTATCAACTTACCACTCAATCATGAGCAGCCGATTCAAACAGTCTTCCCCGCATGCCAATACTCCTCTGGAGCGCTCCTCTCTGGGCAGCACTGGGCACTCGCATTGCATTCTCTTGATATCTCGATGGGATTTGCTTTTCTTTCTGCAAAAAAATAAAAATTACAAAAAATATCAAAGCTCCAGCCTAAAACCACTTATATTTAGGTCAATCTTTGTACAAACTAAATAATAGCTATTGTTAAGCAGAGCGAACAACAACCTACCTTTCTGTCAGGTACAGGTTCTCCTCAATCAAGTCAAAGTAGGGGGGCATCTTCTTAGACCTGGAAAACTCTCTCCATTTACTGGAGTCTTGAAAGTCTCGCAAATTGAGCAAGGGACGCTGCGCCTCAGCTCTGACATGAGTTTCTTTAGAGACGTCAGCACTTTCTGGACGCTCCCTCTTGCCTGCAGGCCCAGCTTCTGCTTCATTGTCTGAATCAGACTCGATCTCTGGCCGCCTTTTCTTGGGAGGGCCCCTTCCTCGGTGGGGTCTTAAATGGTCTTCTCTAGGGGCGTCCGGCAAAGCAGAGCCCCTGCTGTTGCTGCTTATTTCGTGCCCTTGTAGTCCAGCACATTCAACAGCTGTTTTACCGAGGTTAGACAGTTTATCCTCACTGAAGTCGTCCTGATCATTAGTTAGGGAATCAGGATGGATTTCACCTGCAGGGTCCGGATAATGCTCATGCACATGGAGGTAGGGTTGTCTGATAGTCTGTGTGTTTGGGGATTGATGATTCCAGGTGGCATTACTCTGCTTCTGCTCCTGTCCCATGGCAGAGGTTTCAGCCAGTTTAGTGTTTGCTAGGTGTGGCCCATGACTGCTATCAGGCAGCTGGTATGTAGTACTAGGCTGTTCTGGATGTGAAAATTCCCAACCCAGGCTGAGTCCATTCTTATCATTGATATTGTCAGCATCAGGTTGGAAATGAGACTGCATCCTTTCACCTCTGCTGCTTACATTATGCTGTGTGTGCCCTTGCTCACACTGCCTGGAATTATCAAGGCTGTGGGCAGGGTCTGTGGCACTTCCATGGGCAACAATTTGACCCGCCATGTAACGCTGTGCACTGATGGAGCTGGAACCCTCTGAGTGACTGGTGCTATCAATCATATTACTCTGGGATTGACACAACATGCTACTTTGGGATGAATCATTTAGACCATCACAAGGACCACTTGTCGCCAGGATCGAGAAAGCAGCCCCCTGCCTTTGTTGTGTACCTTGAATCGGGACTTCGTTGATATTTGCGTTCTGTAGTTGGGAATTGTTCAATAGATTGCTTGGAGAAGCTCCCGTATCCTGTGCATCTCCTATTAGCGAAGAATTCTTTGGCACTACCACCACAGAGTGCAATCGTTTTATAGCCTCGCCGCAATCGGAGTCATACTCAGAGTTGTCACTATCACTAACCTCACTCTGTCCTCCTAATCCGTCCTGATTAAGTAATGTTCTATTACTCAATTTGTTCTTGGGGGTGCTGCCCCTGGATTTTTCTTCATGATCATCGCCATTCCAACTCTGCATCTTTGCAGCTTTGTCGACCTGTGATGCATCATTTACATGCATAGGCTCATCTGTTTTTATTTTTTGACAAACTCTCAGCTTTAAGTCACAGTGGTCAATGCTGGTGCTTGCCTGTGAAGTCTCACTTTGGTCTTTGTATTTATCGGATATCGGTGGGCTGTCTGAGCCAACTTCCTGCCTAGAGTTCTTAGTCTGCTTATCCAGTTTGGAATGTGTTTCAGCTCCTTGCTGAGTATGTTTGTTAATATCAGAGTCTTGTTGGTTATTGTCTTTAGAAACTTCAATTTGTTTGACAGAAATCACTTTTTTAACAGTAGGCGTACTCTCTGCACAAAGTGACCACTCTAAATAATCACTCTCTGAGGTGTTCTGCCCAACTATATCCCATCGGGACTTTTTTGACGCACTGCTGTTCTTTTGAACAGTATCCATATTTTGCTGTTCAATTGTCAGCTGATCCTCAGATTCAAGACACGATAATTCAGATTTGAGAGACACATTTGTGTCAGGCAGCTTGCCGGCTGTCAAATCTTTAACGATCACTGGTTTAGTGTTCTGCTGGACATCATGGGTGACGGGTACATCTGATGTTTCCAAGGACTTTGGCCCTGGTAAACAGTCAACAATGTTCTTGTCCTGGTTGTACAGTATGCCATCATTACTACTGCATGAATTTAAGACAGCTGCATCAGAGTTCAAATGTGGTCGATTATTAGAAGAAGGGCTATCCTTCACATTGGTCACATTTTCCAGGGCGGCATGCTTTAGGTTTTCACTTGGGGTTATAGCTGAGGGCTCTACATCAAGACTTGATTTTGTATCTTTTGATCTCTTCGATGAGGATTCTTGCAATTTTTCATCGGGCCATGAGACCATCTCCTTAACATTCTGACCACTACATTCATTACCACCTTTTAGGGAATCGTTTTTTTCTTTCTCACTCCGAGAAAAAGCCTCTGTGGTGTTTGTGTTTGACAGTGCTTTGCCAGGGCTGTGAAATATGTAATCTGATTGCTTATCGTGTCCACTGGTTTTCCCAGAAAATCTAGAAGGGGTCATCTGCTTTGAGTCTGGCCTACTGTTTTTCTTCGGGTAGTTTTTACATTTGTCTTCCCGACCAGACATTTTTTCAGATGCCTTTGATTTTCCCTTATGATCTGCTTCAGAGTAATTGGAGCTGCTTTTTTGCAGTTTTTCACATGTTTGAGAGTTTGTATGCATGCTGGAAGAAGAGGATTTGCTGTTGGTCTCTGATTTGTGATGGATGCTAGATTTACGGTAACTAGAGTCCAGATCCGGAGAGCACTTGAGCTGGGAATCAGAGTCCGATAGTCGCTTTGAGGTCCTTTCAGACTTCGACGATTTTGTTCTGTTATCAAATTCTGAAGACTGAGGAAAATCTGAAGATTTAGAAACCTTCTCAGACTTTGAGTAGGAAGATGATTTTGAGTCTTTATGTGAGGTTGAATGGCTGGACAATCTACTGGAGTCACTAGTCCTTGTTCTTGTCTTCCTGTGGTCATCCTCAGAGTCAGAACTGTCCCGAGTTCTGTCAGTGCGAGAACGAGAACGTCTTCTCTCTCTGCGTGGAGAACTCCGGTGTGATCTCCGATCAGAGTCATGGTAGTATGACCTTTCGGAGCGTGACCCTCTGTCGCCTCTGGATCTCTCTGACCTGGAGTGAGATGAACTTGTCCGGGACCCTTTTGATTTAGAACGTGATCTAGACCTGGACCTTTTGCGATCTTTATCGGATCGAGATGAGCGTGAGGATGTGTGTCTTGGATCACGTTCTGATTTGGAGTAACTAGAAGACCTTTCATTATTCTCTGACCGCCTAGAGTAACTTTTTTCTTTTTCCTCCACATGTGAACTTGAGGAGGACTTTTTTATCTCTTTGCTTCTGCTGTCAGAGTTTGCTTTACTTTTGGAGTCAACTGATTTGCGACTAGAAGACATCTGGCCTGAATCTCCATCAGATTCAGAGCCAGGGTGAGCACTATCAGAGTGGGACCTGGTTTTTGTTTTCTCTACCTTAATAACCTGCTCAGCACTGCTGGAACTCTCTCCATCTTTTCCTGAGGAGGCAGCTGGCTTCTTGAGGGTAGGTGTAACCCTTTTATCAGGGGCCTCAATGGGATCATTTTCAGACGGGCAGACACTGAGGACATTCTGAGGCTGAGGCATTGGAAATTCAGGTTCACTTGTTGGTTTTTGCAGAACCTGCAATTCAGGAGAGTTTGGCTCCTCTGGCACAACAGTTGTTGGATTCTCTTCAGTCACAGAGACATTGAGAATTTGCTTCTTGAAATGCATCTTCGGCAGGTCCGTTTTCAGTTTAGTGGCTGCAGCGACTGGTGTTGGAGAATGTATCTCCGCTATTGATTGTTGCACCATGGGGGTGTGGTTCTGCTCAGTTTGCTCAATATCTGTATTTTGCCCTTCTACTTCTGAGGTTGACTGTGACAAGGCAGCGTTAGGCTCAGCAACAGACTTGTCAGGACTGGCAGGGAGGAAGAATGGGCTCTGCAGTGGCTTCTTGGTCGGCGCGAAGCCGAAGGACACTTTCTGACGACCCTGATCCTCCAGGTTGACCTTCATCTTGGTCCCTTTAGGCAAGAGATGGTTGGATAGCATGACTCTGGGAGACAGGCTCTTGATTAGAGCTGCCTTGGATAGGCCCTCCACCTTCACCTAAAATAAAAGAGAAAACGCTTTTCAATTGAGTTAAATAATTAATTGTGGTATTAGATATCGGGATCATACTTTGTTTAGTTGAGACTTACCGAGGCATTACTCCCCTCCTCTCTGAGGTTACACAAGAGCATCACAGGAACATAAAAAGAGAGGAAAGACAGAAATGAGTTTACACAGTTCATGCATCTCATCAAGTTCAAGCTCAGGTGGAATATAAGGCTCCAAAATTGTCAATGTAGCCTTGTTGGATGTGAACATGTCCCTGAACATATTGTGTGCGCTCCTAAAAGGTAAGGACTTGGAAGCACCACATCTGCTGCCATATCTACAACAGTGTTAGGTGGAATTGTCTACCACCTGCTCCTGTAACTCTGTTTTCCTAAAAAGTGCAAGCCTGATATATTATTAATAAGAAAACTGGAGATTTGTCTCAAAGTTTAAGTAAAGAATATTGATATAATACTTTTTTGAATTTCATCTTAGCCACCTTTGTCATTTAAAAATAAAGGAGTCTGACAGCATATATGATAAACCGCTGACTTGTGACAAATGTCTTGGGTGCTATTCAGGGCTGTCATATCACAGTATGTGAACAATTTGTTGAAATAGGTGAAAGAAGACATAGGTTAGCCATAGTAATGTATATATATAAGATCTAAAATGAGTTATTTATAAACAGAGAACAAAATTAACATCAGGAATGTGTTCTGTTGTCTGGTAATGCTGGTAAACACAACTCTGTATTCCCCATTAGAATGTACCAGTACAGAATTGGGGTGATTATTGCTCATCAGCACATATATACTGCATGATGAACATTGACTTAAATATATCATCCTCCAAACCACAAGGTCAAATGCTTAACTGCTTTGTTCTGCGGACAGGAACATACAACACCATAGTTTAATATAAAGTTAGTTATCAGACACCACACTGGATATTAGAAAAAGTGTTTATACTGATTTGTATAGAGAAATATCCTGACTGAATTTGAAACATCCTAACCATTTTAGAGATGGGTTTTCCAATGCCTAAGAACAACTTACAATTGTAAAGCCAGTGCCAATAACAGGAGCATGACACTGTGTAGAGGAAAACTGATGCACCCGTTGGAAACCCATGCAACTTTAAAAAAGATTACCATGAAAATCAGGATTAATTGTGATGCTACAGATCTAAACAATGAGCCACCATGCAAAAATATATGTCCGATTGAGGTATCCACTACAGTAATAGCTTAGCTTGCTAAACATACTTTGAAGGTCTCATTTTATTCATAGCCAACTTAATTAAGAAAACCATTCATGTCAGACAGGAATAAAGCTAAGGTTAATTAAACCTGACCGAAAATTATACATCATTCATTTTTTCTACATAACACAACACCTCTGAGAAAACAACCACATCCACAGTTGCTGCTATTTCCTAAAATAGCTACAATACCTGGATTGAGTATGTAAAGGCCATATGAAACATTATATTTGTAGGATTTAGGAAGGACAGTCTGTAATTAATCTTACTATTATTATTATGTCCAGGCAATTTAGTTTTTTAACAGACATTTGTTATGTTACATCATTGAAAAAACAGTAGTGGCCAAAAGAATACAGGAAAAGGTTTTTTGTTTCTCCTTTTGTCCTATTAAAGCTAGTGTGGTTTCTTTGGGGTATGTTCATCGGAGCTGGGCAACAATTGGGTCATTTAATCCTTGGGGATTTTATTATTTTCCTTTTTTTCTCTGTAACCTTCAAAAGGAGACACTTATGCAGTGACATTCTGTTAAAGGGATATCACAAAAAGCTTTCAGTCAAATTATGAATGGACTGGGCCTACTTCACCAACTTGATGTGATAGATATTAGACAACAAATCTTCAAAACGTATATTATTGTCAGGGGTACTCCTGTATCTGTTGCCACACTGATCAAAACAATAGTAACCAGTAATCTATTCACTTGGTCAAAAATAACAACATCAATTGATAAAAGCATGTGAAGACAACATGTCATATCACATCAGACATCTATGTTAAAAGAAGAGCCCAAAAATATTCAGCAGAGGAAAGTGCTTTGGATGTTAAATAGCAAAATAAAGACAATGCCTTGGCCTTAGGATGACCTTGATAGCCAAATGTTTCAACAGTAAACAGGTGCCAGAAATATTTTCATTGTCTACACCTAAAAGAAAAGAAAACCTAGAAACCACACTAAAACAATTGAATGTCAAACTACTCTGAAAAGACATATACTGTGAGTTGCATTTTGCAGTCTAATACCTGATCTCAGACTTGAGAAGAGTGTCCATTGAGAAACTCGTCTAGGATTAGTAGGCCCGAAGAGGCTGCTGGCCAACAATAATCCAAATCAGAGAAATGTGCCCTCCAAATTGACGCCACACCTGGCAAAAAGAAAGACAGAGAAGCAATGAACTGAGTTTGTTCACAACAGCTTACAGCTACTCTGTCAGGAACTTAAAATAATTGTTGACATGTGCATAGAGAAAAAACGAGTTTTTTGGTTTAACCGTGAATATGGATTGAGCAAAACACACTCTATACTTTATGTACATCATGTCAAATATGTTTGGTTTGTCACATGCTTTCAACCGTTGAGTTCTAACGACTTCTGCAGCCTCCCTTCCTGAGTGTCATGTTATCTATCGTGGAATATGTGGCAGAGATGCTATATGCACGTTTTAATATTATTGTTTGCTAAGGGACAAACTTCATTTAAATGACGGCAAAAACAAAAGTAAAAGGTTATAATTATCTATGGGTTATAAATAGCACCATTATGTTCGAAGATATATGAAAAACATGGATGCTCGCCGAGCAGAGACCAAGCATCTCATTACTGGACATTTAGAGCGAAAGAAAATGGCATACTTAAAACAAAGGCTTTACTGTACAACAAGGATTTATGTGAAGGAAAACATGGACGGACGCTGTTGTGAAAACAAACGGTGACTGGTTCGAAGCAATTAAGAAAGTAACTAAAGCATGGCCTGTGCAGGAGAATTGAATGCAGCCAAAACATGGCCTTTAAAAAGGATAGTAACAACTATAAAAACGAGTAGAGGATGTGTAGCAAACCTATTCATTTAATAAACTAATTGTCCACGTTTTGCAAACTAGTCATACTACATCATATATATAATTAGTAAGCAGGTAGGTAAGGTTGCAAGAACTAAGCTGTTCGACTTTGAAACTGGTTTATACAAAATATCAAAACCAGCTAAGCTAACTTGGGTGAGCTAACATGAACAGGGAGCTTTCGTGTGCCATCTTTAAAGATAGCGTTAGCCCGTGTTCTGTTATCTATAATTCATGTTGTTAATGTTGACTGGCAAACCTTTAAATCATTCACAACACAATAAGTTCGTCAATTGATCGGGTTTTCGGTTGCGTATTAAAAAGGTAAACAAACATTTGTTCTTGGAAACGAACACAGATAGCCAAGAAACTGTACTAGCATCAGCAGCTAACGCTAGCAAGGTTAGCATTGTACTAGCAGCCACTATGCTAACGTTACTGTTGTTAACTTGTGTTTTACTTATCGATCTGTGATCCGTGCCGAATATGTAAACTCAAATTAAAACATGTTTCGACTAGCAGGGAGCTGGTTTATTTTTTAATTGAATTAATGAGCAGGAAGGGTTTGATTCGTTTCCGTTTAGGGGTATAATGGACCCGTTCACTCGAGTATCTGCACCCGGCTTTACTAGCATGCTAGCTGGTGATGTTTTTGTCTTACTTGTAAGATGGCTAAAGCACACTGCCGCAATTTACATAACGGGAAGAAAAAATGTGGGTTTTTTTACAAGGTACTCACTTTACGAAGTGCTTGAGGTCACAAGGTTCCTCCATCTTCGACAATCACCGGTAGTCGACCCTTTGTAAAACATCAAGCAACAATGTATGCCGACGTCAAATCCATACGGAGCTGTCGGAAATGATCGTCGGCTAGTGGCTGTGCTGCTGCTGCGCCCCAGCTTCAGCCTGGGTGAGTGTTGGTACTATGGAGCTAACATGAGCTCACAGTTAGCCTTGAGAGTGCAGACCTAGAAGACACATGACGCCGAAAACCAAGCCCTAGAAAGTGTCTCGATTTGGCCAACCTGTGTATTACAATAAGACTGACAACCCGATCTGCTTGAAGGGTTATGGACATTTATTTTGAATACTTTTTATTCCACACATTGATCCTCACTATGCCTCTGTGGCTGCCTGCTGCTTCCAACAACATCACATGATGTGTGAACATAGCTGGCGCGAACCCTGGTGCGCACTACCAAACCATCAATAAGTCATGTAACTATTTACAAAATAAATCATATACAAATACTCATCACTATCATATACAAATCACTATCTTTAAAGAATCGCGGTCGTATAGGGGGGCCAATGTAAGAACAATTGTATTGGTCTGTATTTTATTGTGGCTAATTCTCAATTTAAACTGTTCTTGACTATGTTTTAAAATAATATAAAAAGATGTGTCGAGCGTCCACTGACCGCTTGTGCATGTTGTGGAGTGAGAAATAAGACAAATGTTTGATAGGAACCAATACAACGTTTAACAGTTAACATAACTAACATTTCTCTTATGGATAATTTCAACTCATCTATTTCTGAAAATATTAATATGATCATTAATAAGGTTTTTTCATGTTCATTGTAGCCATCTCAGAGAGATATCAATATGTGTTTCCTAACTTTAAAATAACTCAAACAATGTGTGGGAATATGTTGTTTGTTATTGTTTTGACTGACGCCACTTATTATTCAAATATTAGCATCTCCTTATGTCTATGCCCAGAGATTAGGAAATTACTTTTTGTTTTCAAATGTACGCATCAGGTTAATAATAATCCACTTTATTTTATAATTTGCATTTATTGTCATAACGTTTTTAATCTAATAGGCTATATTATGTGTGATCTGTGTGATCTGGTATGTTCTTCAATGTCTTATGAATAAAAGTAAAAAGCTTACAGGTATGAATGGCTTATTTACATATAGATATGAAACAGGTTTCATATCCAAATATTTGATGATATCGCAACATCACAAGCACCCCGATACAGTAGGTGGCGGCATACACATTATAAATCGGTTGGACAGTCATTATATGTAATAAAGAACATTCTCCTCAACACATCTAGAAGAGACCAAGAGCGACGAGAAGCCAAACCGATCTGAATCCAACCATTTTTCTTGATCTAGCACGATCATTTTTGCTTTTCAATTGTGTAAGTTTAGATAGTTATCATGTTGAGTTTTTCACGAAGATTACATTATCATTGATGCACGTCCGTGAAGGCTGTCAAAAGCTAACGCTAACGCATGGGGCCTTGTTAGCTACAGAGCTAGAGCTAGCTCAGCTCGGCGTTTTGCTGAGCTTTTGTTTGGACAGCAAGGGGTTTTGCAATGTTGGCTAATCCTATCTAACGATGTGATCAAAGTAAAATTGCACACGACAGTAGAATATTTTTATAATCTGCATTTAACACACATTGTATTTTAAATGAAGTGCTGGTGTTATTAATGACGACGAGCTAACAATGTGTGCCTGGTGGAGGTTGTGTGTGCAAGTAAATGTTCTTCGGGTAATGTTTGCTAAGTGGGGTGGCACTTTTAATCAGTGAATTTCATTCGTGAATTGAATGCCCGTATGGTAGATTAAACTACGTTGTTGGCCAACTCGAGAGCGTTGATTTGCTAAATTGCTCGTTTCTTCTGCGACGTGTGACGCGAGTTAGCAGTAAGCTAACCCTAGCTTTGAGGGCTAACGCCAGCTACCGTGACTTTTCGTTGCCGTGTTTCATTGATTGACGTTGGTTTTTGGGTCTGTTCATGCTGCATTTAAGACACACTTTTTGTTCAAGGCTTTGGTGCAATATGTTGTGTCTGATGGCTATCTGTAGCCATTTTATGGCCTGGTGGTTAAGCTGATTTGCTATTTCATTTAACATACTTTATTAAGATAAGATGGACTTTTATTAATCCCTCGGGGGGAAATTGTTTCTCTGCATTTGACCCATCCTAGTGTTAGGAGCAGTGTGCTGCCATTTTGAACGGCGCCCGGGGAGCAGTGTGGGGAACGGTGCCTTGCTCAGGGACACCTCGGTAGCACTTGCCGGGACTTGAACTGATGACCTTCCAGTTGCCAAGTCCCTATCGACTTCGCCCACATTGTGGGCTATTGTTCAGATAGCCATATCACATGAATGCTTATTATGTTGCAGTAAATCGTAAAGAACAGTGCTGTAGCTTTGCAGTCTGCTTCCTGGTGGTGCATTTACGTACTGTTATGTAGGTCTGACTATAACACTTGCCATTCTACTGGCACATGGTAATACTTTCATTAGTTGTGACATTCAATAGAGATTAACAATGATAGTGAAACATTAAAGGTAGGTATGAATGGAGAAACCAGCTAGAGTGCGCTAGAATTTTGAAAGTACACAACCGGAAAAAATCTGCCTCTTCCTTACAGAGCCCCTCCTCCAACGAACACGCACATGACCAATGAGGGAACGAGATAAGTTTCTGCACAGATGGAAAGCTGATAGGCAGGTAGGCCATCCAGTTATTTTAGCCGGGCCGGCTCAGATAATTGGTCGTGCGTTTTACAGTGCTACGGCTTCCACAGATGACATTTTTTTATGTATTTATTGTCAAAGCATTTAATATAGGGATGCTCCGATAGATCGGCCGCCGATCAATATCGGCCGATACTCACTCTCTGCCGATCGATCGGTGCTCTCTAAAAATGCCGATCGCATGACGTAAAATTATGACATAAAATACATGACACTTTTCTCAGTGCGCGCCAAAATGGCTTCACCAGTCTGGCAGTATTTTAAGGTGTCCGAAAAGTACAATAAAATAGCGGTATGCAACGTGTGTGAAGCAGAAATCCTGCAGCTCCACCCGCTGTGACGGACCGGTGAGCGGAGCAACACACACTAAGAGTTGGACCTTACACACTTAGTTATTTTATCTACCTCTGGAACAAGCTAAACTAGTTATAAATATGTTTATTCTTCACTGTCGGGTCACTCATTACTGGATCAGTGAGCTGCATGAGACGATACTGACAGGCTGGCAGGAGAGAGAGAGAGAGGAAAGGAGAGCGCTTCCGCTCATTTCTCCCGTGTTATTATCCAAAGTTAATGTAAACTTGAATAATCTACTTCATTTGAATGTAATAATTATGTTGGTTGTTTGTGTAAGCTCCAGTGAATGAGCCCCATTAACTGAGTTTTAAACATCACTTTAAATGGAAGATCCCCATAGGCCCCGCCCACTCGATCGGTATCGGCCGATACTGATTCCGGCGATCGCCCCCAAAATTGGTGATCGGAGCATCCCTAATTTAATATATTCATTGCTATCGGGATGTTAAGAGCATTCCATGGAATATAACAAAAAGTGTTTCTGAAGGGAATTACCTAAGTTTGAGAAACCGGCTCCATGGAATGCTCTTAACATCCCGATAGCAATGAATATCTTAAGTGCTTTGACAAAAAATCCATAAAAAAATGTCATCTGTGGAAGCCGTATTACTGTAAAAAGCACGACCAATCATTTTAGCCGGCTCGGCTAAAATAACTGGATGACCTACCTGCCTGTCAGCCTTCCATCTGTGCACAAACTTATCTCGTGCCCTCATTCGTCATGTGCACACTCGTGTGTGTTGGAGGAGGGGCTCTGTAAGGAAGTGGCAGATTTTCTCCAGTTGTGTATTTTCAAATTCTAGCGCACTCGAGCTGGTTTCTCCGAAATTACCTACCCCACCTTTTAATGTATTAAAATAAGTAAGACTTTTTGAATGGTCTTTGTAAATAGGTTTGCTGTGGACATTTGGGCTACATGATGGCACATAAAAGCTCCCAAATATCATAAGGACCTTGGACAAGAAAACCATTACACATCTTTGCGGATCAACTATTGTACTCGGTTTGCACCAGAATATACTGAGAAGGAAGTACCATCCTGATGTTATTGATCACTTTTTGGCAATCATTTGTAATACTTGGTGGTGAACTCATCAATTTCGGACCCATAATTGTGATTTGAAACAACTGGATACAACATGGGAAGGGTCTTAAAGGTGAAACGATGGCTGAGGTGAGCAAACATGACAGGGAAAAGGCAAGGAGAGGGCACACTGCTGCTATTGGATTACCAGAAGGCCAGTTTCTGGAAAAAAATGGGCTATAGCAGTGGTGTAGATTGCCAAACAATGCAAGCGACAACAGGTTTTTTTTTTCCGGCCATGAATGGGATATTTTTGGACCTCTGTCAGAAAAGTTGGAGAAAGGTGACAATGCAGTGGGGAAACATTTATGAGTGACAAGACATCCTGATTTAGTGCTCTCCTGCAAACGTGCAGTTAACGGAGTTGTGCTTCCTTTGTAACTAGTATGTTTAAGCCATGGATTTGCTGAATAGAGAAGAGAATGTCAAGACAAAACTACATTTAGGTGGTAAATCTGTCAATCTTATCAATATAGAAAGTATGTTGTATGGGTTTAGTTGTCTCTTTCTGTATTTATTGGCTTTTGGTGCTGTTAAGTGACATATTTGGTTGGATTGTAGTCGGTTCTGATGGAGCAAATTGCAAAGGCTTTGTAGATATTATGCATTGACAGTAGTCATTTTGTCCTTGCTGTGTCGCAGTGGTTGAACTAGCTTTTTCAAAGTCTGCATTTCAAAAATAATTTATGACTGATCATCAATGCTGTTCCATTCTGAATTGCCAATGCAATGGAAAAGTACTTGTACCCCATCCTTGGTGTTATTGATCACTTTGCTGGCTGAATAAGTGAAAATACTTGATTTTTAGTGTGTCAATATTGGGGAAAAGTCATAGATTTTAGGTAATGGCTATGGTGATTCTCCTGATTACTGATGCATTCTGAGAGGTGATGCATTTTCAGTATATTAGCCTTTAGCATTCTGAGGGCAACAACCTTATTAGCTATGTTGTTTTAACAAGTGGAATATTTAGAAACCAGTTAAGACTAGTTATCAGTTGAACAAAAATGTATCTGCTTTACTTGAATCTTGAATTTGAATTAGATAGATATTTTTGGTATCGGATTTTCCACTCTCAAGCGACTGTGGTGGACAATAATCATACTGGTGTCCCTCTTTCTATGGTGTCCTTTGTCTCATTGGTGTTTTTGTTCAGTAGTGTTATATTCGAATGCCAGGAAATTGAGGCGGAGCTAGAGAA